CAAATAGGAATTTATTTGTAATGTAAAACATAAACCCGAAAAGAATACGGAGATGTGGTATGACTGCCAATGAGACAACTATCTATCAAAGTTATCAATCAAAATTTTCGATTTATATTTGAAATGTATTTTGGTATTTTTATTAAACTATGGGGAAAATTTCACAAAAATATCAAAATTGCAGTTTAAGCAATCGTGAAGTGTTCATGATTTTATTAAATGTCGATGTAAAACTCTTAATCAGCCGCTGAATTATTTATATTAGGGATTGGTTTGGGTTTACTGAATAGAGAATAAGGGGGGGGGGGGGGGGGGGGGGGGGTAAAGAATAGAGAGAAATGTGTCAACAAAAATGTAAAATAAAGAATGCTTTGGTGCTAAAATATAAAGAAGCGAGAAAAACGTGCCAAAAAATCAAAAAGATTAGAAAAACTTTGATGCTAAAATGTAAGGAATTGAGAATGGTGAGCGAAAATAAGCCTAATACATAAAATGATACTGAATCAATGCATCCTCAGCAACTAACTCGTAAATGGAAAACTGGACATTCAGGATTAGATTTATAAAAACTTTATAGAACATAAAAATGAACACAACATACCTCACGTCCTCAATTAACTTTATAATAAAGAATAAGTGCTGGAAGTATAAATTTGACAGCAATCTGACAACATATGCATCTCAGAATATTTCATTTTGAGCAAATTGTTTCTAATAACACGTTTCGTGCAAAGGAGAAGATAAATATCTGTTTAAACGTATGTAAATACATAAAGTTAACCGTCTTGTCATAATCAATTAACAATCTGCAATAGAGTTAGAGTATAAAATTAACAAGTTAAGGAGAAAAAGTGTCGGAAGTTACGAAAGGTAGAATCAACCATAAGTGGAAGAAAGACTGACGAAATCATGGTGAAAAAACGGAAAACGTCGAAAATTTTAACAATACTCAACTTACAAATGTACCACTTCCTAAAAACTCAAGATTGGGGATATCTGAGGTGTTCCGAATGGGTTAAAATACCTTCTACGCATCTGGCACCTGTCTTGTTGATCGTTGTAAGTATAAATTCGAAGCCAAGTCTCATTCTGATGTCACAAACGAGGTTTTGTTGATCCATTATATTATCGTATTTTTTTTTATAATGGATGAATTAAAACAAAGTCAAGCTTCTTTCTTTGTTTCCAATAAGTATGCACTGTAACACCTATGATGGTGTTTACCTGGGAATGATTGTTAGGCAATTGATATGTGTTTTCTACTGTCCAGTGAGAAATATTACATGCATTTTTGGCGAGAAAACGGTTAACAATATATCTGGTAATTTTTCCATAGTGTTTCGATCTAGATGAAGGTCTGCAATAATAAAAAAACTGCTACTGCATAATGGCGGAAATCAATGTTTAATAGGGCAACACATTATTGCTGGAACGGTTTTTAACGTACAGAGAGGGAAGCATTCTTCCTACACTATACAAAGGTAATGACATCTAGACAGCTCGTGATAGAACAACGTCTTTAAGACCTTTAAATGATTGGTGGGAATTTCCTTGGTTGACCTGATTTAAAGATTTTTTTAAAAACAAAGCCATCCTCCCCCAAAAGAAATATATTCATTTTGGCGGAAATAACATTTTGTAAGATATCGATGAACATATCTTTTACTTCCGTTTTATCTTCCTTACAGCACGCATAGTATCATTGAAAATAGTGCACGGACCACGACATGTTATGATCTACGCTTGTTGTCAGATTGCGAAATTATTCACGTTTAAAAAGTTTCATGCTTTAAGGTATACAATAAATGAAAATATTCATGAATTTACACGATTCAAAAATTATTTGTATCAGATTCTATATTGACTTATTTGGAGATACAGCAGGAATATTAAAGTGGCAAATTAAGCTGCTTTAAGAATAAATAATAATGCAGATGGGTTTTTGTCAATTCAAACATTACCTTTATTAAACATTCTGGTAATGGTAAAGAAAGATATACGTCATCTTCCTCGAAAAAAAACTGGCTGATTCAAAACTATTCCCGTCAAAATGATAGAGATCAATTAGGGTAATACATTGCGTAGCTATGACAAATTGAAGAACAAAAATAGTAATTCAAATATTGCAGTCAAAATATCTTCTCTTCAATTAACCGTATTTTAAGAAATTGAGAAATTGAGGAGTTTTGAATTTTTTTTGATTTGAGTAATTGGGTAAATATTTAATCAAAAGGATATTGTTGATATATGTCACTCAGGCAGCACCTCCACAATAAAAGTAACCAAATATATGTCAGACCTTTGTCTAGAAGGATTTTTTTTTAAGCGTACGCCAACATCTTGACCATTTGATAAACAATCCAATTAATTTCAAAGTGAAATGATTAGTTAGGGGTTATGATAACGTCGAAATAGATGATAGTATTACTGATGCTTTATCAATTGACCGCACTGAATTATTGTATAATTACAGCAAAACAAATCGAAGGAAAAATAAAATATTCCGTTAGTTTTAATAACTAAATATAAACCATATATACGTAAAATAAAAAAAAAACGTATCATCCAACACTGGCATTTATTGCAGTTTGACGAAGAATGTGTACAAGTATTCAATGTTAAACCAATAGTTGCGTATATCAAACATAAAAGTGTAGGATATATGCTAAGTAGCAAAAAAAATTTAAAAATAATAGAACAAGTAATCCAATACAATAGAAAGATTACCTTAATAATTGTATGACATCAATACACTTAGGAACAAACTACTAGTGTCAAAATTGAGCCCTCATTGCCACTTATAATATTCAGAAAACTGTAGAGGGTCTTTCAAAATATCAAAGACATTATAGAAATGCTTGATTACTTCTTGGATTGGTTTAGACACGTGTAATAATTTAATAATGTAACAACAATATATTTTATAGATGACCTTACAGGGGTGATATTACCTTACACATCTTAGAATTATGTGTTAATTCAGCAAATTTGAACTTGTATAGAATATAGACATATTTACAAATAAAAAGACAAGAATGGACATGTTGTTTACCGAGCCATCAAATTTAGTTACAATCCGGGTAAACTTATTCATCCTTTAAAAAAACTTATTCTGAGACTAAAAGGTTACCAATTCGACACTGTAACTATATCTTTGAATGTTGTTTTATCTGGATAAATATTGATTTTGTAATCAATAAATAAAAACTCAACTAAATGTATGGCTATACGTGTACACATATGTACATTCACAGTCCTACAATCTGTCAATACCTATATTTTGGCATTGTACAAGGTCATTTTTTTCTTTGACTGTTAATGACGTTTCTACACTAAATCTATTGAATGCTGGATGTCTTATATTCATGATTTTTTAATCGATCGTTATTATAGGCTTCGATCAAAATTTCAGTAACTGCGAGTACTCACAGACCTGTACTTTGTGTCTTTGGCTTTTCGTAAGTTGTTTTTCTGCTTTGTATGGATCTTATGAGTGAAGCGCCCTTTCCCACTGATTTTGATAGTTTGTTTCTATGTGTGTTGTTACACTACTGTTAAAGGTAAGGGGGGGGGGGGGGGGGGGGGGGGGGGGAGGGCGCAAACATGTTTAACCGCGCCTCATTCTTTATACACTGGCAAAAATGCCACACATGTGTACATGCGTGACACATGCGTTTCACATGCGTGTCACACGCATGTGAAAGAGACGTTTCATGCCACGCATGTGACACATGTGTGAAAAACACATGTGATACGCATGATACACACATGTGATCATGCGTTTCACATGTGAATCACATGCGTAAGGAAATACACCTGTGATACATGCGTGATTACTACATGTAAAAGGCATGGTGCCTGTATTAAATATTTTTCAAAATGTCCTCCTATTTGTCCAATTACCATGATTATTGACATGTTTCTGTTCTCATGTGAATTACATGCAATTTCTAACACATTTTTCTAACACATGCGTTATACATGTGTTTTCTCTATATATACACAGGCAAAATGAAATTAAGGTGAATTGAGCATCAATCACACAAATTCACAGTATTTGAGCATATTTTAGATAAGTTAATGCTAATCTAGTACACATTCTATTTTGATATATAAATATTCTTCTTGGTCTTGACTATGTGTTCATACTTCCATTATATTTTACTTTCTTGATCCTAAACAATACAAAAAATATTTATCTATCAACTCCCAACTCACAATATCTCCAATGCAAGAGATAAGATGCAATAAAACAAAGAAGGCAAGCAAATATCCAGGTCACCTTAGTTCACTCCTAGAATTTTTTCAGTTATGTTCAAGTCTCAATACTTTTTTTAAAAGTCATGTAAGGATTGATGATTCATTTATAGAATATGTATGCACTAATGTATATTTCATTTTTAATATGTATGTACAAGTCATTTTGTGGTTATCAGCCATGAGACAATCCAATCCCATTATGGAAATAGTCTTACTTGCAAAAGATGCCAAGTTTTGAAGAAAAAAAGTATTTCACCCTGCCACATATTCCTGTGCCTGTTTCAAGCCAGGAACCTTTTCAGTGGTTGTCTAAGTCTCATCCTAATAAAAAAAAATATTTAAAGAATTTGGAGTTGATGGCAGCTCTTTGATTGGTATAGACTCTGGTTAATTAAGTAGATCATGACATTGTTTAGACACCTGTTCATTGTTGAGGACTGTATGTTAGCACCTTAATGCCTTTCATGTATTTTTGTTGTGTAGCTGTCTGATTTATTTATACCTCATATCTCATTGTATTAATAAACTGAAATAGAAAGTTCTGTGGAATATATTTTGATATACCATATTGAAAGTCTTGCTGTTATTTACAACCATTTCCTTCTTATTTCATTTATCTATTTCAGTTTTTCATTTTAACACCAATCTTAAGGTTAAGGCAAAAAGAAAACAAATGTTGACAAACAACAGGCATATACCATTAGAAGATCTCAAAGTTTGGCTGCACAATAAACTAAAAATTCTTGTTATTTCAAATATTTATATAAAAATCAGTTTAAAACATGCATTTTCCATTTTTAGACTGTAATTGTCATGTTGGCACAATAATTTGAATTTGAATTGTATTATATTCTGAGAGTACTTGTGGTTGAAAAAATATACACGATATTTAATTCCATGTGTTTTAGATTTCTTGAATACACCACTCCCATATAATGACTACATGTCTGTTAGTAATGTTAAGAGTTCTCTCCTGCATGTAATTGCTGTAATTGCTATTTGTACCCAAGGCTTCCTTCATACATTTGCACTTATCCTTCTAAGATGTTGCTTGAATGATAAAATCCTGTAATACATTATCAGCCATCAGACTCTTGGAATACAGTTGCTGTAATAAAAAAAATAAACTGTAATCACAGAGATATGTCTCGCTTTTTAGTAATTTCGATAATGCAAATGTTGAAATTAAAATAGCAACACTTTAACATGTAAGATTTGCAAATATTCAAAGTCAATGAACCATGACTAAAGGTACATGGCTAAACAATCTCCATGGAAATTAGATAATACATGTAAACTAAGAAAATTTTAAAGTCAATAAACGATAACTGAGGGGGGGGGGGGGGGGGGGGGGATAATCTCCATGGTAATGAGATGTGTCAGTGCTAATACAACTGCATTCCAAATATCATTGACTTACCACTAGTGGTTTCCCATAAGCCGACCTAATCACAAACTAATACATGAAAACTAAGCAAAAGTTTCAAAGTCAATAGACCATGACTGAGAGGGTAGGGGCCAAATTATCTCCATGGAAATGAGATATGCCAATGCTTATACAACTGCATACCAATCATAATTAACTTACCACTAGTGGTTCTCCATAAACTGACCTAATCACAAACTAATACATGAAGACTAAGCAAGAATTTCAAATTAAGTCAATAAACCATAACTGAGGGGGCGGGGCCAAATAATCTCCATGGTAATGAGATGTGCCAATACTAATACAACTGCATACCAAATATCTTAGACTTACTACTTGTGGTTCACTATAAACTAGACCTAATCACAAACTAATACATTGTTGACGCCGCTGTCGTCAACAACGCCAGAAACAGCATACCTATGCCTCGCTTTTTGACTCCTTCAAGCGAGACAAAAACAGCATATATTTTTTGTAAAACATACATAAAATATTGGATTACCAATCAGGCAAAAAATGATAACATCAATTTAATCTCCAATGATTTATCAAACTTACATATATATATATATATATATCGTGTGAACAACTGGAGTGGAATATAATAGTTGTTGTTTATCATATTTATTTTTCGTTTAATGTCTTTTACGTAAATTGGAATTGTATTACATCTGTAATTTCAGGACCTTTTATAGCTTGCTAGATGCAGTATCAGTTTTGCTCATTGTTGAAAGCTGTTCATACAGTGATCTATAGTTGCTAACATTCAGTCATTTGGACTCTGGTGGATAGTTGTCTCATTGGCAATAATACTACATATTCTCATTTTTATCAACATTAATTACCGTAATAATGAAAACTAACTCTATTCATGCATGTGTACTACACATTACCTGTATATATAATATATACTATAATACTCCGGGACATCATGGTGTTGTGACTGAAGCAAAGTACCTCAGCCTTATTTTTAGCCTGAATTTTAAGATTTTTCGTTTTGTCATAAAATAATGTCATGCTGGTCATTAGGTGCACAGTTTTCTCTGCTTTCAAAATCTTTCTTTTTGAACCCTTTGACCCAGAACTTGTTATCTGTAGTAATAATTATGTGGAAAACAAATGGGCCTGGAATGGTGTAATTTTTAATCAACACCATTGTCCTATATATATAAGTTATAAATAAAGTTGAATTCTTTGAATAGTCATTTTTACTAATGCCGGCTCACAAATTGGACCTTGTTATTTTAGTATTATAGATCTAGATAACTAAGTGCTTGTAGAAATACAATTCCTCATTTTTCAAGCCCCTTTCTTACATGTCTTAACCTCATTTAAATTACAATACCAACTAAAAGCTCCAAGGAGCCTGTGTCGCTCACCTGATATTTTTTTAATTTTACAATTGATGCATGAAATAATGCAACCGATATACTTTTGCTTTAGTTTCAAAGATATAAGTCAAAAACTGCATTTTTCCCCCTATGTTCTATTTTTAAACTAGATACCCTAATGCTTATTATGGCCAAGTTTGGTTAAATTTGTCTCAGTTGTTTCAGGAAAAGACTTTTGTAAAAGATTACAAAAATTTACGAAAAAATTGTTAAATTTGACTTTAAAGTGCAATAACTCCTTATGGGGTCAATTGACCATTTTGATCCTGTTGACTTATTTGTGAATCTTATTTTGCTGAACATTATTGCTGTTTACAGTTTATCTCTATTATAATGTTCAAGATAATAACCAATAAATTGCTTTGCCGAGCGCAACTGGATATGACCACAGAGGTCCAACCCTTTTTTTAAAAAAAAATTAATTTGAAGGATTTTCTTTTTGATTTTGATTTCTGAAATCTTGAGGAGAAAAAATTGTCCCCCCCCCCCTTTTTCCCAAAAAAAAAAAATCTTTCCCTCAGTTATGGTCATAATTTCAATTCAAATTTCCAAGATGTATTTGAATTACCTCCCTTACACTGTAATTTGTACTTAAGTAATTGTCCATTAACCAGGACACCCTTGTTTTTTCTCACTTTTTTGCCCCCAATTCCTAAATGGTTTGAGCCATAACCCCCCAAAGCCAATCCTAACCATCCCTTTGTGGTATGGAAACTTGTAGTATAATTTCAGAGAGATCCATACACTGTTCCACAAGTTATTGTCATGAAACTAGAAAAATGCTTATTTGGGCCCCTAATTCCTAAACTGTTGGGACCATAACCCCCAAAATCAATCCCAACCTTCCTTTTGTGGTTATAAACCTTATGTTTAAATTTCATAGATTTCTATTTACTAATAATAAAGTTATTGTCCGGAAACCAAGTGTCTTTGGGCGACGACGACGACAACATGATACCAATAATTTTTTGTGGTCGTATAAAAATTGAAAAAAAAATTCTTAAAATTACCAATTCAGGGGCAGCAACCCAACAACGGGTTGTCTGATGCGTCTGAAAATTCAACAGAGACAGATATTCACCTGATGAACATTTTTACCCCATGTCAGATTTGCTCTAAATGCTTTGGTTTCAAAGATAGAAGCCAAAAACTGCATTTTACCCCCATGTTCTATTTTTAGCAATATTGGCCATCTTGGTTGATGGCCAGGGTCAACGGATACATTTTTTAAACTAGATACCCTAAGGATGATTTAGGCCAAGTTTGGTTTTATTTGGCCCAATAGTTTCAGAGAAGATTTTTGTAAAAGTTAACGGACGACGACTGACGCCAAGTGATAAGAAAATGATGCAATTAACAGCAAAAGTAGGCGAGACACTGGGTTCTGCGGAACCCTTACGATTTTTTTAAAATTGCCTTGGAATTCAGTATTTTTGTTATACCATTTGGAAATTAAATACTGTAACAAATACATACCAGTTACATTTATATATACTGTAGCTATAGGATCTCCTCAATATCTAATCCTGTTGTTAATTTCATTTAAACATATAATGTATATAGCTTCCCTTCCACTTACATCTGAGGAGATAATTCTGAAAATTAAAATTCCTGTGATTATCATATAAAATCTTAACCTGATGCAGTCTGCTTTCCAATAAGAATAAATTAGGAATACAGTTATCCCTTGGCAAAGAGAGAGAAAACAAGTGATATTTTTATATTATAACCAATACTGCACATGGTAATTGGAACATCACTAGTTTTCTGGATTGGATTGTTGCTCACTTTGTCAGGATCTTTTACAGCTGACTATATAGTATGGTTTTGTTCATTGTTGAAGGTCATACAGTGACCTAAATTTATTTACATCCTCTTTGACTAATGGAATGTTTTCTGATTGACAATCCTACCATACATTGTAAGACCTTATTTATAAAATACTAAAAATTTCAATCTGTGACAATAACATTTTATTAACAAGAAATGATTGTAACAGGATGCTGTTACGAAGTCTCCCAAACGAAGCTCCCATAATTCTTAATTCCCAGGGTCGCCTGACATTGGGCAAAGTCCAGTGAAAATTGGTTTGGTCCAGTAAAGTTATATGCATTAGTGATGCCTGGGGACTAACCCTGTATATCATTCAAATCATCTTGGCATGACAAGCCAGAATATATATGGTTTAGGGGTGGGGATCTCAACCATTTACAAGATATTAGAACTTTCTCAAATGGCAGGGGGTCGGATCATGACCCCTGGGGACTAACCCTGTATATCATTCAAACCATCTTAGCATGACAAACCAGAATATATATGGTTTAGGGGTGGTGATCTTGACCACTTACAAGATATTAGAACTTTTTTAAATGGCAGGGGGTGGGGGTGACCCATGGGGATTAACCCTGTATTACATTTGATGTGCTTTATCATGACAAACCAGAATATATATGGTTTAGGGGTGGGGATCTCAACCATTTACAAGATATTAGAACTTTCTCAAATGGCAGGGGGTCGGGATGACCCCTGGGGACTAACCCTGTATATCATTCAAACCATCTTAGCATGACAAACCAGAATATATATGGTTTAGGGGTGGGGATCTTGACCACTTACAAGATATTAGAACTTTCTTAAATGGCATGGGGTGGGGGTGACCCCTGGGGACTAACCCTGTATTTCATTTGATGTGCTTTATCATGACAAACCAGAATATATATGGTTTAGGGGTGGGGATCTCGACCATTTACAAGATATTAGAACTTTCTCAAATGGCAGGGGGTCGGGATGACCCCTGGGGACTAACCCTGTATATCATTCAAACCATCTTAGCATGACAAACCAGAATATATATGGTTTAGGAATGGGGATCTTGACCACTTACAAGATATTAGAACTTTCTTAAATGGCATGGGGTGGGGGTGACCCCTGGGGACTAACCCTGTATTACATTTGATGTGCTTTATCATGACAAACCAGAATATATATGGTTTAGGGGTGGGGATCTCGACCATTTACAAGATATTAGAACTTTTTCAAATGGCAGGGGGTCGGGATGACCCCTGGGGACTAACCCTGTATATCATTCAAACCATCTTAGCATGACAAACCAAAATATATATGGTTTAGGGGTGGGGATCTTGACCACTTACAAGGTATTAGAACTTTTTTAAATGGCAGGGGGTGGGGGTGACCCCTGGGGACTAACCCTGTATTTCATTAAATGGGCTTTATCATTTAGAACATTTTCAATTAAAAAGATTGTGTCTATCACAAACAGTTTTCAATTTATACTCATTTGAAAATTTTTAAAAATAAAATCCCATAGGGTTCTATAGTAAAACCCTCTTTTTTTTTTGCCCCTCAAAGTACCCCTTTATAAACCCCATTGCACAAACAAAACCCTGATTGCACCACTAGACATGTTAGTCTAACATATTGTGAAACCCTAAGTTAATCTGACAAGCGGTTTTGGAGAACGGGTGCGGACAAATTCAAATTTAAAAGCGGCGGAAGAGGAAGAAGAAGAAGAAGAAGAAGAAGAAGAAGAAGAAGAAGAATAATAATAATAAGAACTGAGCAAAAACAATAAGTCTTCCAAAACTTCGTTTGGGAGACTTAATTAAATAAGGTTATCTGATCAACATTATGAAGCAATGTTCAAAACACTCTGTCATTGTCTGACAGCGATCAAAGTAATTTTAACTTCTATGACAATGTACAATGATGTATATATATGCAAGATTCAAAACTAAGTATTACAACTAAATTCATACATATATCCATATACATTTACAAGGTACTTAAAAAATCAGTGAGACTGACGCATAAAATGTAGGTAAAAAAAATATACTTTTGTTGGATCCTGCATCATAATTATTACAAGTTAATGAAGGCAAGTCATAATCATTGAGTACATGTACATTATATTTGAACTTAAAGTAAAGGATAATCTGATTAGTCTCTAATCGGTAATGAAGCCACACAACACTCTGTGACAACAGTGACATATAAGTCTCCCATAGATGCACATACTATTATTTTAGGTCTTTTGTATATATATGTTTAAGGTTACTTAGAATTGGCTGTTGACATACATGTACACATGGACTGTCAGGCATGGAGTCATTGGACCCTAGGTTACTCCAGTCCATTATCAGTCACTATCAATAGTCAACTCCTCTGTCCATTTGTTGTAATACAATGTACAGCTGAAAGGGAGAAAACAGTACTTTATTAATAGCATGTGGATGCAAGACTATAATAAGTATTCAAAGAGTTTTGCAAACAATTAGCTTATACATTTAGGAGAATTCTGTATTTACCTAGTGATGTGACAGTAAACAGTGGCGGATCCAGAACTATTTATAACTAAGGGGGGGCCCACTCCAGTCATGCTTCAGTGATTCCCTATAGAATCAACCAAATTTTTACCACAAAAGGCCCCCCCCCCCTGGATCCGCCTATGGTAAAATCAAGTTTAACAAAGGCCAAGCTTAAAATACAATACAGTTATCTACTTTCTAATGCTGCATATTAAAATAAATACCATTTAACAAATATTTTGGCGTAAAATGAAATAAATGAAAAAGTCTGTGAAACTGTTGCATTGTCTTTAGCAACTAAACAATGTGACGTCATATGCGTACTCATGTAGTCAAACATAAAATTCTAGAAGTACATTTTATTTTTACCTTTCGTATGCTTCAGAATGGTTTCAATGTTGACAAAAAGAATGGAGGACCTTTCACTGGACTGAAAATTTCAAATAGTCCAGGACCTTTCATTTTTTAATGCAAATTTTAACCCCTGCATGTAGACCAATTTGAAAACCTGGCCCAAAATAAATAGACAGCTGCACCATGAGCACATGATACACCAATCGCTTATTCAAAGAATAAAGTTCAATAACTTTTCAATGTCATAATCAGACATTCATGAAAAACTAAAGGGAGGTTATCTTAATAGATATAAACCAGTCACCAAAGTTTCATGATAACTGCTCAAAGCATTGTCTGAAATATGAAAATCCCCCTTTTTTATGAATAAAATCACATAACTCTGAAACATAAAATCTAAAATTAATAAAAACCAAAAGGGAGCTTACGACAATAAATATAAACAATTCACCAAAGTTTTATGAAAACTGCTGTAAGCATTTTTGAGTTATTGACTGAAAACTGGAAAATCTCCCTTTTTTAAATGAATATAACCCCACAACTTGGAAACATAAAATCTTAAATTTATAAAACTCGAAAGGGAGCTCATGTCAATAGATACAAACAAGTCACAAAAGTTTCTTGCCATTTGGTGAACACATTTTGAGTTATTGTCCCAAAACCGGAAAATCCCCCTTTAAAGTTTTTTAATGTTTTTTGGATATCAACAACTTTGTCAAACATACATGGAATTTGACATGGAATTAGTTATATCTGCACACAAGAACACACATTTGTATGTGTTTTTTCTGCATAAACATGTAATTCATAATTTATCAAAACTTCCGACATAGTCCCATTGTGCATCTCTTTTTTATGCCCTTGTCGTAACGGAGGGGGCATTAAGTTTTACACTTGTCTGTCTGTACATCCTTGCATTGCGAAATAGGTTTTATACCCTTTTGATATATTGAATATTTTGACATTACACAGTAATACTCTTCTTAAGACTGCATGAAATGACAAACTGTGAAACATTGTTACACTAAATCTGTTGAATGTAAACTGATAGATATTTTAGTTTGGGAAAACATGTTTTTTGCACCTTTTTTATTATAAGACCTATTGATGAATCCAGTCCTTTTTGGCTAATTTTGAAAGTTGGTTCTTATGTTGTTTGCTGTCTGCCATTACTGTATGTCGTTTATATTTTTCATCCTTGTAGGTTACTTTATGGTATTGATTTTGTTCATTGTTTAAGGCTGTACATTGACCAGTAAATGTTTACATCTTTGTCCTTTGGTCTATTAATTGATAGTTGTCACATTGAGGATCATACCTCATCTTTTTATATTTATATGCTAGGTCATTGAAAAAGATACAACATAATTTAATTGTTATATATTTGCAAATTCATTCTGATAATGCAAAAACATAAATTGATTGACTTTTTTTCTTATTTTAATGTCCAGAGGCAAATATTTTATGTATTCTAAACGAGAACAACTTATCATGATCAATTCATAATATAGGCCAGTCTGACAATGCTTGTTTTAGACCCTTTTTGGTCTCTAATTCCTGAATGGTTTGGGCAAATACCCCCAAAATGAAACTTAACCTTCTACTTGTGGTACAATTTCATAGCAATAAAAATACTTATAAACAAGTTATTGTCCTGAATTTAGAAAAATGCTTGATTTGGGCCTTTTTTGGCCCCTAATTCCTACACTGGTTGAACCATGACGCCAAAAATAATCCAAACCTTCCTTTTGTGGTATTGAACCTTTAAATCTAATTTCAGACATTCATACACTGAAACTGAAGTTATTGTCCGGAAACCAAATGTCTTCGAACGAGTTGATAGCAATATACGACCTCAAAACTTTTTTGCTGTAGTATACAATATGGTTGTTCTTTTAAACATTTTCATAAATAATCTAAAAGAAATGTAGACCTGTTTGGGATTGCTTGCAATGCAATTTTCATTACATTAAACAATGTATATTTCCAAGGAATAACTTCTGTAAACCTAAATTTTAATAGCACTTACTTTCTAACTCATACATTTCAAAGTGACATTATTCCTGTATAAATTGACAAATAAACGGATCACCGATGTAATAATAAATCTTAATTATAAATTTAATACTAAACAGAAAACAATGAACTTGCGGAAAAGATGGTATACCGCCAACAAAAGGTGCAAAGGTTTTATTTCTTGGTTTCCTTAAACTGACCTCATCATGAATATCAACAATTTTTTTACGACTATGCCTCTATTGAAAACATCATGCCTAAGTCACAGCTTCATAACTGTTATGGCTAGACAAAAAAGAACAAGCGATCAAGAGAGCTTTGAATGCAATTTTCTATAAAATTGACCTGTAAAAAAAATAAATTTGTCACTTTTAACATGGATAATTTTCGAACTTGCCCACAACATTACAAGAATCAAACTTTAAACTCTTTGACCTCAAACTTTTAAAAAAATCTTCGAAACTGCATGTACAGAGTCTGACAAGAAAAAATTATTCAAACATAGTTATCATTTTCATTACATACCTCTCATCACAAAATTATTCATTGACTACTGCTCCTCATATGCACATAAATCATTATCAATAGGACAATCTATGACTCCACTATATAATCTAGAAAGCAATGCCTCAAATGAATTCTGTCCTGTTGCTTAGCTTCTCCTACTTCTCAAAGTAATTGTACTTTCGTTGAAAAAGCTAAAATAAATAATGTTTAATAAAATGAAGTTATAATACAATGTATCTGCCAAAATTGCCTTTAATATTTTGATCTGGCAAGATTGGCTTGCTTTGATCTTTTAAAACTAGACCAACAAACTTTCCCTGAAAAAAAAAATGACTACAAAAAAGTATTTAATCATTTTATTAATGTTCTAATCCATCATATAAATTCCATATGACCCTTGAATGAAGGGATGAACAAAAGTGATTACATGTATATATTACAGGATCTCTGAATCTGTCATGATTTATAATGCCAATCTTTGGGGATTAAGTTATTAATAATCATGATACTTTGAAATTTTAAGTCATTCAAAGTTGTTTAAATTACACCAAAAGTTGGACTATTTTATATTAGGTAGTATCTGAGAAATGGACTAAACAGGCAAGGTTTGGTGGTAAATACATTGTACATGTACAATGTACTTTGTTTTTGGCTTTGAACTAGGTGTTAGTGACTGGGAGTACTCTCAAATCTGAACTTGGTCTTTTTTGTTGTGGGGATGTATAAGTACCCACCACGTCTTGTGTGTGGTTTTGTTAGATGTCTTTCAACTTTGTATAGATCTGACGAGTTAAGCCCTTTTCACATCAATATATCAGGTTAGGAGGTGGGTTCTGCACCACAAACTACTAGTCTAGCCCCACCCCATCCTGTACATATTTGTATGTATGTGCCTGTCCCATGTCAGGAGCCTGTAATTCAGTGGTTCAGTTTGTCGTTTGTTGCTGTGTATCATATTTTGTTTTTTTTTGTTCTTTGTTTTGTATATAAATTAGTCTGTTAGTTTTCTTGTTTGAATTATTTTACAATTTGTCATTTTCATTTGGGGTCTTTTATAGCTGACTATATGGTATGGGGTTTGCTCATTGTTGAAGGATGTACAGTGACCTATAGTTGTTAACTTTGATGTCATTTGATCTCTGATGGAGAGTTGTCTTTTCTCATTAGTGTAAACAAGATTTTATTTTGAAAATAATTAGGTTATTTAAACATTACAATATGACAGTTTTATTAGGATTGGAAAACAAGTGAATTTTCACTTACTTTTACCAATTCCTCTCTTTTCTCATTGGCAATCATACCACATTTTCTTATTTTTATATTTACATTACGTACATGTAAAGTAGGGGCGTGTTTTATTGGTCTCTTCTGCACATCTCCAGAATGTCTTCTGGTGAAGAGTCCAAAAAAATGAATCTGGACCTCTTCTGGAGATATACTACGGAAGATCAATAAAACAAAAATTCAATTTGCCGTCGAATATAGCAGATTTTTGTTATGTTGGATGCCATATTAAATGAAGTTTACGATGATTTTATAGAAAATTAAGATACGTCCGGTAGACATGACTGTAAAAGTGTGCTCTGTTCGTGACATTTTTCTTTGTTCTTTCCTCTAACTCAATTTTGCTAGACAAATCAGGCGTAAACCCCCACTATTTGATTTTTAAGAATAATCTTAAACTGCACAAAAATTCGTCAATGTTTGTCTCGAATATGATCAAAAAGGACATCTTGTCTATCCAATTTTTTTAAAGTAACCAAACTGGATTATTTTTGTATAAAGCAAAGATATCGGAAAGTTCTCAAAATCATTTTTCTCTGGTGGTCCTTGAAGAAAATCTTCTGGTCCTAACTCAGTATTATTTCTATTGCATAATTTGATGGTCAAAACCTTCGGACCACCACTTTTCAAAAATTTTCATTGTATATGAATCTATATGCAAGTATACAATGAATACCAGACATTTCTCAGACTGTTTTTTCTTCTTTTTTTTTTAATAAATCCGTTAGTTGTGTACTGATTGATACTTCAGTCTGAGAGAACAAGATTTATTTCAGTACTATAGTTGTAATTAGCATTGAACAAACTTCCAGTAATTGCAAATACTCTTATTTCGGTGCTTTGTGTCTATTGTCTTAATGTAAGTTTTTTTTTGTTAAATGCTGTGTCATTTTGTCTCTTGTGGAGGGTTGTCTCATTGGCAATCTTCGTTTTTATATCAATCCTGCCATATTCTTTATGTGCCTGTCCCAAGTCAGGAGCCTGTAGTTTAGTTGTTGTCGTTGGTTCATGTCTCGACTCGTATTTGACATTTTGTAAATTATTTAATATTTTGTTATGTATAATTAGGCCGTAAGTTTTTTCGTTTGAATTGTTTCTCACACTTTTCACGTCGGGCCTTTTGACAGTATCGGGTTTTGTCATTGTTGAAGGCCTTAATTACGGTTGCCTTTAATTGCTTACATCCACTTCATATTTGAACTCCGGTGGATAGTTGCCTCATTAGCAATCATACATTACTTCGTTTTTATTTATTTAACCTGACTTTTAAACTCGTGTTTCCTGAACCGAGTCCTGAACATGCATGACATATTTGTCACTGGGCGTTAAAAATTAGCAACAAACAATCAATCAATTTAAACTTGTGTTAAATAAGAAGAAAAACCATTTGATATTCATACATTTATTGGGGTGGGGGGTGGGGGGGGTGGGGGGGGTGGGGGGTGGGGGGGAGGACAGGGGCGGATCCAGCCATTTATAGAGGGGGGGGTTCCAACTATATGTCCCCATTCAAATGCATTGATCGTCCAAAAAAAAAGGGGGGTCCCCCCCCCCAGGAACCCCCCCCCCCCCCCCCCCCCCTTTGGATCCGCCACTGCAGGAGGTTTTCATATATGAATATGGTTGGCCGGTAAGAGCTGAAAAATAGGCATAATTAGCGACAGATTAAAAAAGTTAATAATGCCCTCTTCCCTTCCCCATCCTTCATCTATAAATTTAAACTGACCACCACGGAATAGCCCAACTTAGTGTTGAAAGTAGCGTTAAACACCAATCAATCAAAATCCCTTCCCTAGCATATCAAATAGTCGTCCCTTAACTGTTATTGTCCGTGTATTTCTTTTATTTTAATCCAGCTTATCGTCCTACAGGGATGTCCTACTAAGACTGTCATACCATAAAAACGTTTATAACACAGCTCACATTCTAATATATCTGCATTCATAAATTTATTAATGTCATTCACACTAAACGACGCCATGTTTGTTATGTGCCTCTGCCGTCTAAACTACCTATCAAAAAAGAAGAGGTGGAAGAGAGCCAGAAGATCTTCCCTATGCAAAAAAACAATAATGGACCTCTTCTGGCTCACTACCGAAGAACAAAAAAACACGCCCTAGATCTTTCATCTTCTGGAGGTGTCCGATTCCTAAGTACATGTACAACAGGGGGCCCTAATTAACAGCATGATTTTGAGTCGGCTAAAAAACAATCAGATAGATTATGATACAATTAACAGGTTTCTTTGCAATTATTTTGCAAATAACTAAGCTAATGCAAGAATAAAGTTATTTTCCAATAAATACATAAATTAAATAATAGTAAATAATGAATCTACAATTATATTTTAAGAAGTGAAACATTATTTAAATTCAATAAATATCATATATTAAATTTCAATTTTTTTTTTAATTCTGGGTAGATAAGTTTTCATTTTTTTAAAGTACATGTAGGGCGAGTTGGTAGACCTTTATCTGTTTATAATATATTTATTATATATTATCATGATTATATTCATTTGGATTTTACCCAAGTTAGGCAAGTTGCCACTGTTGGCAGGAGTACATTGTATATTTAACAGGATTTAATCCTTTTCACAAGTGGGGCGATTTTTTTTAATGTGGGGCAAGCAAGTTGGTATGAAGGGAGCTACCACTTGATTGGGGGGGCTAGGATGAAAATGTTATCCTGCATTTTTTTAGTTGTAATATCTGTCCTGACAGTTTATTATTCACTCTTTTCTGTCCTGGCTTTTATTTTTTTACTCAAAACTCCTGTCCCGCATTTTTTCAAATTCCGTCAAAGCCCCCTCTCCCATAAAAATCAAATGGTAGCTCCCTAAACAAGAGTGGAGCGATTTTAAAATATTGGGGCGTTTTGCCAATTGCAATGGGGCGAGTTGACTTGCTTCCGTTTTTGCCAATCTTTGACTGATTTTCGGGTTTACATGGCATGCATGACATGGATAAAGTCAAATGGTTTTTCGTGAAAAGTATAGCACTAGCATCTTCCTAAAAATGCGCATGATTATATTTACATTTCATTGTGCTTTCCAAGTACAATAAGTTGGTACGTAATCCATCAAAACGGAACACTTTCGTTGCGTTGACTTTCTATAATGTATTGCTTCGTTCCCCGGATTCAGTTAATCGACAATGTAAGTTACAAACCCATTTCAATATATCTGTTTATAATAACTTTTTGATCCATCAGTTTGAAAAATCAAAGGTCTTTGTATCAACTATCTGACTATCTTTGTCCATTCTTTTTAAACAGTAAAACATGAATTCAGCAGCAGACGAGCGTCCATGGATTTTGCGTCATAGTATAAAAACGGCAACGGTGAAAAGATTTCCGGGTTTCCGTATTCGACGTGCCAAGCTTTCGTAAATTTACGTATATATATGAGAGTTAGTCTGGAATCAAGAATGGGGATTTAAATAAGGACACAAAAAAAATATATAGATAGTTGAAAAGCAAAAATATAGAAAGAAGGATCATAGAGAATAATTGAGTATACTTAATTATGAAGAATCATGCAAAGACATTATTCTCAGAGCATATACATGTCTCTGGAAGAATTGAGAATAAAGAAAAACTAAATAAAGAATATTCAATCATTTATATATTATTTATAACTCATTCACATTTTGTTCCATTCAGAATTGAATAACTCTGCTGAGGGGGGCATGGGAAGTTTGGAAAATTGACAAACGATAATTACTCTAATCAGAGGAGAATTAAATGTTAGACAGTTAGAGTGTAATAAATAAAATATAAACATATATTTTTCAAAATGATGTCACAGAAAACACAGATTTTTTTTTATTACTAATAAGATTCTGCAATTTGAGTATCTATGTCCAACAGATGTCAGTAAATTAGAAATTTTACTAATCTGATAGACGTTTAGTTAAGAATCTGTGACAAGTTCTTTTGTAATATTATTAGGAAATTGCCTACCGCCTCCTTGATTTAGAATTGCATACTCTTCAAGATTAAGGTAGCCTACACAAATAACAGCCAGTTTTGGACTTGATCTTTTTGTCCAAGGTTAAACAATATATTTTGTTTTATAATTTTCAACTCATGAACTATGCAAATATTTTTAACACTATCTCCTCATGATATTCGACGAAAAGCTCACCAGATCTTATCTTCACATGTTTGCCAATATGGCGAATCAAATCAAAGTTTTACTTACTTAATTTGGCAATTACATGTATACTCAAACCTAGGTTGCCACATGTTGAGCAGAAAGTTCCTAACTTTATCATTCACAATACTTGAGTTCACCCATGTATTTTGGAGGTTCGTGTTGCACATAAAGGCGGATTTAGAGCACACTGCCCCTCCCCTTTTTGTGGGAAAAATTTGATCTATTATATCGGGAATCACTGATGCATGACTAGGGAGGCCCCCTCTTTAGCAGTCAGTGGGCCCCCTTACGAAAATTTCTGGATCCGTCAATGGCACAATCTTTAGTTTTTGTGTAATGTTAAGCCCAACGGTTACTGGGAATTTCTGTCCAGTATTTCATACCAAGGTTGTTTGGGTATCACAGTTTTAAAATGTTATCACCGTTGACCCAATAAACAAATCCTTGGTTGATCTATTCTTAAACATCTTCTTTCCAGTAGTACCCTCACAATGGTATAAAATGACATTAATGCCTCCAACCTGGGACTATTATGGAGACTAGTATACAATAGTCCCAGCTCCAACACTGATCATTGATATTTATGTTCCCCTTATAAATAGAATAGAGAAATTGAGGACATTTGTTCCACATTTTATGAACTTTGAAAAAACACAAGCACATGTAACTTTTGACACCACCTGTGGGCAAGTGCCTGCAGCACACTGATGTGGTGGCACGTGGGTGGTGGTAAGTCAGTGGCGGATCCAGAACTTTCCATAAGGGGGGGCTCGCTGACTGACCTAAGGAGAGCCCGCTCCAGTCATGCTTCAGTGATTCCCTATATAATCAACCAAATTTTTCCCACGAAAAGGGGGCCCGGGCCCCCCAGGCCCCCCTGGATCCGCCTATGTAAGTTTATAACCGCCGTTACAGTAAACCCCTCTCAACCCACCAAATGCTTGCTTGAAACACAAGTAAAATATAAACAGGTAATTATGTCCTTTGCTTTTATTCCACACCAAAGATGAAGAAATGTATGATAAAGTTATAATGGTATATTATTCTGTACATTGTATAAGCCTAAAAATTAAAGAAGTGACTATTGTTTGTCGTGATTTAAACACGATAATAGTGTTGCTTTCCCCTTTATCTTATGAGCCGTATTGAACAGGACAGACTACCCCAAACACTCTGAAACTTTTCAAGTACTTTCTATATGCTCATGTGTATTATCTTGTTAGCATAGTTTTGTACTTGGACAGATAATCAGAATGGTCAACAATCAAGTATTGACAATGTTAATTGGTCACGTTTGTTTGAACTACCAAACCAGGTAATTTTTAAATTTACACTTGTACAACCCAATGTCAATGTTACATACAATCAGTCATTTTTGTAACACAAGGGTTACAAATAAGAAAATACTAAATAAAATATGCAAATGTATAATTTAGTTCCATAACTGTATGAAGCACCTAAGACTTAAATATATCTACTGGGTGTATCTGTCTGTCTTTTGTCCAAGATAGTTGGCAGATATATAGGAATAAAAAGAGATGTAAGGTTATTGTAACACACCTTTGAGAAAGTTATTCAAACAATAATAACAAAAACACAACACAACACATCTAGATATTCCAAGTTCTAAATCATTTTTTTTCAAAGTGGTGAAGATCAAAAGATCTGCAATTAACACCAAATTCTCCCAATATAAACGCATACTTCTTTTACCTACATATGTATTAAAAGAAATACCAATGAAAATCTTAATTAAAATAAATGTTTGAAGATTAAACTTTTAATTGTTCAAATAAGAAGAACATTTTATGGGGTAAGGGGGATGATTCACAGAATCCCCTGGCCTACTCCCTTTAGGAATTATATATAGAGAGAGACTTTTTACAAGTCTAGTCTCACTTTTTTTTCAGGATCCTGGACCCATATCTGACAATTATTGCAATTTTATTTACTTTGCCTTTTTTTTCCTGCGATTATTTTCCTAAGCTGATTGGATAAAATACCATCTATTATGGTGACAATTAAGGATAATCAGGGGCTGATCCAGCCATTTTTAAAAGGGGGAGGGTCCCAACACAGGATAAAAGGGGGGTTCCAATTATGTTTCCCCATTTAAATGCATTGATCATTCAAAAAAAGGGGGGTTTCATGTGAAAATAAATTTTTTAAAAGTAAAAATATAGAAAGAAGGATCATAGAGAATAATTGAGTATACTTAATTATGAAGAATCATGCAGACATTATTCTCAGAGCATATACTGGCATGTCTCTGGAAGAATTGAGAATAAAGAAAAACTAAATAAAGAATATTCAATCATTTATATATTATTTATAACTCATTCACATTTTGTTCCATTCAGAATTAAATAACTCTGCTGAGGGGGGCATGGGAAGTTTGGAAAATTGACAAACGATAATTACTCTAAATTCTAATCAGAGGAGAATTAAATGTTAGACAGTTAGAGTGTAATAAATAAAATATAAACATATATAACACAAGGGTTACAAATAAGAAAATACTAAATAAAATATGCAAATGTATAATTTAGTTCCATAACTGTATGAAGCACCTAAGACTTAAATATATCTACTGGGTGTATCTGTCTGTCTTTTGTCCAAGATAGTTGGCAGATATATAGGAATCCCCTTACCCCATAAAATAAAACATAACTTGAATTCACATCAACAAAATTTTCCTGTGTAACACATGCGTTACACATGCGTTTGACTATACATGTGTTACACATGCAAATATCGCATGTGTCACATGCGTTTTCCAACACATGCGTGACACAGATGTTTTTCTGACACATGCGATTCACATGCGTGTATTACGCATGTGAACGCATGTGTACCACGCATGATTCACATGCGTGGCAAGAAACATGTGTATTACGCATGTGACACACCTGTGACACATGCGTTTTTAGGTACATGCGTGACACATGTGTGGCATTTTTGCCCTAGTATGCCTGTCCCAAGTCAGGAATCTGTTATTCAGTGGATGTCGTCTGTTGTTGTTTATCATATTTGTTTTGTACATAAATCGGGCCGTTTGTTTTCTCGTTTGAATTGTTTTATATTTGTCATTCTGGAGCCTTTTATACCTTTCTATTTTGTTCATTGTTGAAGGCCGTATGGTGACCTAAAGTTAAAAACTTCTAGGTCATGTGGTCTCTGGAAGAGCGTTGTCTCATTAGCAATCATACCACACTTGTTTATGTTTATATTTATTTAGTAGTATATAGGAAACAAAAACACTTTTTATTTTAAATTTTGAATTTTGTTGAAGTTTATATTTCCTTTAAATAATGTTGACAGCATTTTTACAACCATATACTTTATTATTTTCATTTGACTCCTATGACTTTAACTACATGTAGATTATCAAAATACATATTTTTTATAAAGTTACTTATTTTCTAAAATGACCTGTTGTATACCATTGCATTAATTGTTTCGTGATAGTGATGTCTAAAAAACAGGACATTATTAACCATAGCAAAACTCACAAGTTACGTTTAAAATCCTCTAAAAGTATTCCTTTCATAACTTACGAAAGATAAACGTTTTATTAAAAAAAATGGTAATCATGTTATGATCATGTAATAACGTAATGTGTTCTGTATCATTAAATTACCTTCAATATTTTTCAATACAGCATTTTTAAATATTTAGGTAAGATTCACTACATCTATAGTTGAGGAAATTTGTCCTTACATATATATACATGTATGTAGGTTTTGTCAAATTGTCTGATGACAAAATAGTAGCTAACTAAGAAAAAGCAACAGGTTTTCAGAATGTATTTATGTATTTAAAAATTACAGCCAATAACTCCACTCTGTGTTTTTGTTGGATGTATTTCTAATTGTATCAATCTGATGAGTTAAGCCTTTTTCAACTGATTTTTATAGTTTGTTTTTATGTTGTACTGTTACACCACTGTCCCAGGTTAGGGGGAGGGTTTGGCGCCAACAAACTAGTTTAACCCCGCCACATTCTGTATGTGCCTGTCCCAAGTCAGGAGCCTGCAGTTCAGTGGTTGTCGTTTGTTGCTGTGTAACATATTTGTTTTTCGTTCATTTTTTTGTACATGAATTAGGCCGTTAGTTTTCTCGTTTGAATTGTTTTACATTTGTCATTTCGGGGCCTTTTATACCTGACGGTATGGGCTTTGCTCATTGTTGAAGACCGAACAGTGACATATAGTTGTTAATTTCTGTGTCATTTGGTCTCTTGTGGAGAGTTGTCTAATTGGCAATCATACCACATCTACTTATTTTTATAATAACGTAATTAATGCGATTTTCATAGCATTAAGCATTGAATAAACCACCAGGGTTATTCATTTTCAAATGTGTTTGACAACAGTACCGCGAATCGTTAGTATATAGCATCAGACGGGCGTATATTTAAGACAACGAAAATTAGAATACATTACATGACTTGATATGAGGGGAATAACAAGTCTGTTGTCCCTGAGATGCTTACTATTTTTCGAGCCAAAGCTTCAAAGTTTCAAAAGGACAACACAAGTTCTATTCGAAATATTTAAGTATTTATGTAGATTTTTCTATTTTGTAAACATTACTTCTGATATCAACGTATATTTGTTCCACCTAACAGAAGTTTCCATGGAAACTTTGTAATAAACAATGTCATAATATATGTTCCTGTTGGAACAAATATTCTATACCCTTTATTCCGTAAGGAATTAATACTGTAATATTTGTTCCAATGGAAATAATATTACAGAATATTTCTTCCAATTGGAACTTATATTATAAAGGAACTTCTATTTCGTGACACTGATACGTAATGCATTCTTAAATTGCTCTATTTGAAAACAGTCTCAGTTGACGAAGATAGACACAAACAGATATATTTTATTTTATTGTATAGCTTCATTTCCTGTTGTCGATATATCAGTGTTTTATCGTACGATGCAAAAGAGTCCATGCGATGCGAATCATTAATGAAGACATTTTGTCTTATAAAAGATAAGTTTGCAAAATAAGGGAAATATTATTGCTATACTATTGACAGGGAAAAAAGTCTGTGGCATGAAATAGCAAGAATATTTTAATCTTTTTACAAAGAAAAAACTCCTGACTTAGATAGTTTGAAATACTGTCTGAAGTTGAAAATCATTTTTGTGTCGATGTGTTACTGTCTCAATGATCTATACTCTGCCCA